TGAGAGATCGCCAACCATGAAAACGATGGGCGACGTGGTGGCAGATCCTGCGGACGAGCAGAACGTCGGCACGTCTGCCTCCTCGACGCAAACGTCCCCCACCGTCGGCAAGGAATTCGGCCAGAAGACCCTCAGATCGTTGAAGAGAGGGCTTGGTAGATTGTGGAGGAGGCACCGTGGCAACGCTTCGATCACCGAGTACGATCCGTGCTATAAGGTCGCTTATCTTGGGAATGTTCTCACTGGATGGGCCAAGGGTAAGTGAATTCTTTCTTGAACCGAGCCATCACCGTCAGCTAGCAGAAAATATTTTATCCAACATCATTTGCGTTAGGTCACAAGCGCAGTGAATCAATTACTGAATAACAATCGTGGTAATCGGAATTTCTGATCAGTTCATCGATTGTTGAAATAAATCGGTAATTGATTAATCTTTGCAAGATCGTTAATCGGCGATTTTTAAATCGTTGAGCGATTGATTTATACTTTATTACGATCTGTAACATGCTACGATCTCCTCGAAATTCTTCGCAAACGTTTGTAAATAATTGAACAATTGAAATAGAGAAAAAATACTTGTTGAAATATGAAACAGTCATATTTTTATGTATGACGAAAAAGTTGAAATAAAGCAATCATTTATATATATAAATTAATTTTAAAATATTTATTTACATAAATAAATTTTTCAGGTTATATATATATATATAAAAATTTTAAAAATTCGTGAAATCTAAAAATACTTTACTTCCCGAAAAATAATAATCATCATCCATAAATTTTCATTTTGGATAATAATAGTCAAGTGGAATTTTAATGGATGTTAATTTTTGAAGAGAGGAGTATCCCTCTATGTCGCAGTATACAAGATTCCCTTTTAATCATCCAATATCCTTGATTTCGTCTTTGTTGAGAATCTTATCACGACTGGCAGCTCGAACGACTATGTTGCGAGAAAATCGTCCGATTATCATCATTGACACGGATGATGGGTGGACGTTAATATCGAGTTGGCGAAACCACCAGTATATGTAATTTCGAACGTAATAAATTTTCAACCGTCCGCTTGAATGTTACTCGGGCAGTCATTAATATGTGTACACGTACGGGGGAACACGGATTCGTTTAATATCAAGGGGAATAAATGAAACAGGAAAAAAAGAAGTCGTCATTAATGCGTCCAAATTACATACGCAAGTGTAGCACGGGCGACTTTTAGGTTATGTTTCACGTACGGAGAAAGAAGGTATTAATTGCAGTAATAAAAACAGCGTATCGATGTTTCGAGCCAATCGATAGGCAAGGGTGCACGATGTTTATCAATAATCGCCAGCGAAACTTAATTGTGGAAGATTGCGCCGAAGAAAGTGAAAAACCGAAGGAATTTCAATATAAGCATAACCTATACGCGGTTGTGTATAACCTATACAGGGTGATTCACGCAATCAGTAACAAACGACGATATCTTTTTGTAATTAGAAATGTCAGAGGATAATAATGAAAATGTAAACATAACCTCTACGTGGATACATATTTAAAGTGATTCACGCAACAAACGATATCTTTGTGTAATTAGAAGCAAATATTAAGGATAGAAGTTTCAAAATGGACAATGTACCGTCAATTATATTATCCTCGAGAATATATAAAACTATAATAAAAGTATAGTAAAGTATTACAAAAATAAAGTATTAACCCATATGTGTCGAAAAATTATTAATTTAGATCTTATAAAATTAAAATTAAATTATCTCCTAAACTAATAATTTTTCGACATATATAGGTTAATACTTTTTTTTTTTACAGAGAATTTCGCATTGCGTCGATCATTCCATTTAAAAAAGCGAGAATAATTTTGAAATTATTTATAATAATCTTTCCACTTACAATAAAATCATTACACTCGCCTCTCATATTGAATAACTTTCGTTGAGAAACGATAGAAATGAAAAAAATTAAGTGGATAAACTTATTGGGACACTCTGTATGTTAGAATAACACGATAGAAAATTGGTAAACTTAAAAGATATTTTAAACTTTTATTTCGTAAAACTATATCGCATGAAAGACGCGGAAAACAAACTCGAGAGTTGAAAGTTATGCTCTTCACAATTATAAGATTAAAATCTTTCAAACTAATCATTTTTCGACCATAGTACCCTAATATTTTTCTTCGTAAAAAAATTTGATAGATGCAAAAAAAAAGTACATTTTTCTTATAAGAAAAGAAATAATTGCAAAATATACGTGCGTTATTATATATTTGCGAAGAAAATATGATTGTCAATGTATCCTTTTTTTCTTAACTTTAATTATATTAAAAGAAAGATACGACTTGTCACAGTTACGTGAATCACCCTATATAGTTTTCCTTAGCAATGGTTGCCGTTTCGTTAATACCAGTGTCTCGACGAT